AGGAAGGACCATGGGTACTATGGTTCCAACCATAGAGGTTAAATGACCCGCTTGAGCTTCCCAGTTCCATGGGACCAACATCCAAGCCCCAGGTCTTGGGATAGGTCTGACAGTTGGGATCCATCCTGCTCTCTGCCAATCCAACAAGGCTGTAGTTCTGAGGAACAGGTAGATGTCATTTTGGAGTCAGGAATCTGCCACCTCTTGCCTGTAGCCTCAAGGCTGAGTCTGACAGTGAGACCAGATTGGATCCTGTTCTTAAGGGGAAGCCAACCCCTGGCTTAGTCTCACGTAGACCTTTTGTGCTCTCATTCATTCAAGTCCAGGGAGCTGTTTTTATTTGTTTCCATTCTTATAAATGTAACCAGTTGGAGAACGCAAGGCCTCGCCTCTGAACTGTAACCAAAGAAAGTACAGGTCGGAAGGCACGTATGCCAGTAAGGGAGCGTTTTTGAAGCAAACCTCTGATTCTCTCAGGCCTGGTTAAAACTGCCAACTTTGAACTCATTTCCTTGGAAGTAAATGTGAGTACAGGAATAACAGGTGTTCAGGATGAAGCAGCCAGATGCGAGTTAATTAAGCCAGCTTTGGGGATTTCCCTTGATTACAGAGATTACAGATAGTCTGTGTATAGTGTAGAGTGCAGATAACTAAATAGGAAATGTCCCTTTTACTCTAGGCATTCAGATATTAATACTGTTACATTTATTAACATCATAAAACAGACATACTACTGGGTACTAATGTTTCCGTATGTGTCAGGTGAACGTCAAATGATAAGGTCCAACTTACTGTTTTGTGATACTAAACTAGTTGATTTTAAGATGCTCATATAACAATTTAAGTATACGCACACACCACACACATTCATATATAGAGAACTTTAATAAGACTTTTTTCATTCATTTTCTTTCTGTAAGGGATTTAACTCAGGCTTTTTGATAGATTAAAAAAGAAACTCCATTAAATACTATCAACATGATGCTTATTTCCTACCTAGGTTTTTTTTATTTGTAATAGGTTTAGAGAAAGATTGTTTCTTCAGGTTTTTCTGTTTGGTTGGTCGGTTGGTTGGGGTTTTTTGTTTGTGTGTTTTGGGGCGGCCTTTTTTGTTTTCCTTAAAGAAGTGCTGGGAGTCAAACCCAAGCATTGGAAATGCTATGTAAGCCCTCTGTCTTTGAGCTAAACCCCCAGTTCTGCCTCAGCTTCTGGAATAGCTGAGATTACAGGCAAGTACCGCCATGACTGACCTGCCTCGCATTTTAAATTTTATGTGTATGAGTGTTTTGCTTGCATATATATGTAAATATATCCATATCATGCAGTGCCTACAGAAATCAAAAGAGAGCATCGGATCCTCTGGATCTGGAGTTATGGATGGCGCTTGGGTGCTGAGAACTGAACCTGGGTCCTCTGAAAGAGCAGCCAGTGCTCTTAATCGCTGAGCCATCTCTCCATCCCCCTACCTAGGATTTTAAACATACATTTTAAGCCAGCCTTGTTATGCAAGCCTGTGATTCCAGCTATATGGGACAGTGAGGCAGGAAGATTGCAAGTTGAAAGCTTGCCTGAGCTATAGAGTGAGGGATATTCAAGGATAGCCTGAGCAACTTAGCAAGACCCTACCTTAAAGTAAAAAGTAAAAAGAGAACTGGAGGGTGTGGCTCAGAGGTAGACTGTTTGCCTAGCATGTGGGAGGCCCTCAGTTCAGCCCTTGGTACTGGAAAAGAAAAGTACTTTTAACTTGATATTGTGTTCTCCCAGAATTGATCTGTGATTATCTGTCATTAGAAAATTCCCATTAACTATGAGCATTTCGGAGTGTCCTCATCTTCCAAAGAAAAATCACATTTTGCCACTAGATACTATTGTAAAATCTTTTAGAAATATGAAAGGCTTTATACTTAAATTTTTTAATTAAAATTTTTTAATATTTATTTTGTGTATGTGTGTGTGCGCGTGCATGTGTGAGGGTGTGAGCTTCGCATAGCACATGTGTGGATGTAAGGACAACATGCAGGAGTCAGTTTTCTCCCTTGGAGATATTTGATGAGGTATATCATAATGCCTCTTATGAAATCCAACTTTAGCCTTTATCTGTAAACCTTTTAAAATTTATAAAATGTTTTGTATACACTTTAAAAATTCATCTTTAGCCTTTTACACAGAACTTATATTAAAAAGCATGAAGTCATTGACGTCTTCTCTTTAGCCACCCAGGTTGACAGCTGGTATTCAGTTTTACCTTTCACTTATTTTTATCAAGCAACTATGAAACCAAGCAGGAAAATTTTGGTCTTAACTCTAGAATCAGTTGCACCCCATGAAAATAACGTAAATGTACAATGATTGTGTCTTTTGATTGTAGTGTGTTTAATAATATAGAAAAGTATATATAAAGGAAGGGAGCAATCACCTCCAAATTTAAGTACATTAAAAAAATAAGTACTATTGACTGGTGTGGTGGCACATATCTTTAATCCCAGCACTCGGGAATCAGAGGTAGGTGGAACCCTGGGAGTTTGAGTCTAGTCTGGTCTACATAGCAAGTTCCAGGTCAGCCAGGGCTACATAGTAAGATGCTGTCTCAAAAAAAAAAAAAAAAAAAAAAAAAAAAAAAAAAACCCGAAGCAAATAAAACCCTAAACAAATAAATAAGCAGGCACTATTAAATTTGTATTTCCTTAATGTGCATGTATGCTCTGTTTTCACTGTTTTAATTAGCATTAAATAATGGGCTTCATTATGACATTTTCTTATATATATGTCATTATACCCTGCTCATATTTACCCCCACCCACTACTGTCTCCTATCACTCCTACCCCCTCAATGGTCTGCTTTCTCCCCGCAAATAGCCTCTTCTGCTTTCATGGCACATTTGTATAAATGCAAATACATATGTATGTGTGTGTATATATATGTGTGTGTGTGTGTCTTATATTTTAATATATGTATTTGGTATGTTTATATATGTATAGATACATATACAGTCTTGTATATGTAGACATAATTGTATATGTAAATTTTAAATATTAAATTTTTATTTTTTTTTAATGTATACAAGTGTTTTGCCTGCATGTACATAAATACACCAAGTGTGTGCAATGCCTGTAAAGGCCAGAAGATGATGCTGGATCCCCTGGAGCTGGAGTTACAGGAGGTTGTGAGCTGCCCAGTGTGGTACTGGGACCCAAACCTGGGTCTTCTGCAAGAGCAGCAAGTACTCTTAACTGCGGAGCCATCTCTCTAGCCCCTAAACTTTAAATTTTTTTTATTTTTTAAAATATTTTATTTTATTATTTTTATTTTATGTGTATGAGTGTTATGCCTACATGTAGGTGAATGCACCCGTGTTGTGCAATGCCCATGAAGGACAGAAGAGGCTGTTGGTTCCTCTGGAACTGGAGTTACAGACAGCTGTTAGCTGCCATGTGGGTGTTGGGATTCGAACCCGGGTCTTCTGCAAGAACAGTGTTCCTAACCACTGAGCAATCTCTCCAGCCCCAACTTTAAATATTTTAACTAAACATTATGTAGTAGTAATTAAGTAGTTTCACACAACTGTATTGTTTAACATCCTTTCCCCCACTTCTTTTGACTTTCTGGGGATCAAACCTAGGTTCTTGTGAATAGTAAGCAAGCACTCTCCCATTGAGCTGTGTCCTCAGTCTGCTCAATGATTGTGTAAGATTTCTGTTTATGATCATAAATAATTCATTCCACCACTGCCCAACTGTTGAACACTTAGGCTGCTATACATTTTTACAATTAATACAAAAATAAAAGCATTCAACTGATAACATTGAGGTACTACTGTGAGAAAGGAACTTGACTGTGATGTGTCAGGCCTGGGTCAGGAGAGCCCTTAGTGGGTGAAGTAGGGAAGAAGGGCTATCCAGAGTTCCCAGCTGTCAGACAGAAGGAAAGAAATGATTGTGAAAGTGATTGTGTGAAAACTGTGTTGGGACTTGGGAAATGTGAATATTTATGAGATAGAAATCAAAGATTTCTTCAAAATTTAATTTTTGTCATGACATAATCTGGTGCCTGTGTTGGAAGGGAATGAACATACCGGTTAGCTATTGACCATGGTGCTGTTGGCCAAATGAACATGGCTCTTTGAGCAGGAGATGAAAGCAAGTTGTGAATGGGTAAAATATATCACGGGTAGGGATAGTCTCTTGAGAGACACACAAGAACAACAGATACCTCTGAGAGGGCTTTGGTATAAGTGAGGAAAATAGGGCTCCGTTTAAAAGATTTTATTTATTATTTTTATTTTATGTGTATGAGTGTATCGCCTGCATGTGTGTAAGTGCACCTGTGTTGTGCATTGCCCACAGAGGTCAGAAGAGGGCATTGCCTGCATGTGTGTACGTGCACCTGTGTTGTGCATTGCCCACAGAGGTCAGAATCAAAACAAGGACTGGAGAGATAGTTCAGCAGTTATGAGCTCTGGCTGCTCTTGCAGAGGACCCAGGTTGGGTTTCCAACACTCACATGGTGACTGACAATTTTCTGTAACCCTAGTTCCAGGAGATCTGATGCCATCTTCTGATCTCCACAGGTATTGCATGCACATTGTGCATCTACATTCATGCAGGCAAAACACTCATGTACATAAAACAAAAATAAATAATTTTTTTAAATTAAAAGTCAAAACATAACCCTCTTCACTTGTGTCATGACCCCGAGCCAACTTGAAAGGTATTCAGGAGCAAGTGGATGGTAACTATTAGTTATAAAATGTGGTGGTAAAAGAAAGGAAGATGTGTGAATGTGCACGGAAGAGTGGGGAGAGTGCGCTCTCTTGTCCTTCACTGAACATCTTCCAAAAAAACCACACTCCTACCATAAAACTGCCCAGAAAATAGAAGACTTAGTCCATGTTGGGTAGCCCACCCTGTTGGCCCCAAAACTACTATTAAGAAAATATCCTTCACTTTTTAGAACCTTCAAAGGCTTGGGTTATTAAAAGGAGGGGGAAAATCTTTTTCAGGAAACTGCTGAGGAAACTGAATCGAATATCCAAGAAGATGAGAATGAAGATGGAAGACCAAGGAAAGGGGAAGTGGAACTTGCCTCATCAGGTGCGTTCCTAGATGCTAGTTTTCAGGTAAAGCATGACAGCTCTTAGAATATGTAATGGTGTCAGCTTTTCCTGCTGAACCAGAACCACAGAAAGGTAGGGTTAGACTCTGCAGGGGATGTGGTTATGCTGCCACCTAGAGGCTCTGGGAAGGAAGTTCTGACCCTGACATTGATGCCATGGAATGGAAACTTGGGACTTTGACATTTTCTTTTCCTACTCTGATATTTTGCTTCCTAAAAATGTATCTTCATCTTCATTAAAATATATATATACTGACTTCCCTCATATAAATAATTCTAGTACTGACAGTCATATTTTGACGGTCACAGCGGTAGATAAGGCATACATTAAGATATACATAACAATTGTGCTGGTGGTATAGCTTAGTGATAGAATGCTTGTCTGGCATGCATGAGGCCCTGGATTGATCCAATCCCCAGCACCACAACAAATCTACCAGGAAAACATGCTGAAAGGATAAGGCTCCTGGAGAGTTTGAAAACAGAAAGTAATGCCATGAATCTCATTGGTTGGATTCGTACATAACTGTACCCATTGTTTAGAGATGGGGACTCTCTTTGTCCCTAAAGTATTACTCTTCAGTTTTTTTAGGATTGTTTTATCAATATTTTTCACACATTTCATCTTTGGGTAAACGTGAAAACTCTTCCAATACCAAATCATTCTAAAATGGAATTTTTAAATAAATATCATTATTAAAAACAATAGCATATGCTTTTTCAAAGTAGACTGTGTTTCTATACTTTAATATGCCCCCAACCTGATGACTTTTCCACCCCATTAAATATGTACCTAACTCTTCAGACATCAGAGAACACCTTGTTTTCAATGCATTATATATGTCTGTTCCTCAATCTTTAGCCCAATCCAGTTATGAAAATGTGATTTTAAAAGGAAAAGTTGGAACTGGAGAGATGGCTCAGTGGTTAAGAGCACTGGCTGCTCTTGCAGAAGACCAGGGTTCAATTCTCAGCACACACATGGCAGCTAGCAACCATCCATAACTCAATTTCAGGGGGTCTGACCCCCTCCTCTGACCTCTGTGGCCATTGCATGACATAGGTGCACTTGCACACATGAAAGCAATACACTCATATATTTTTTAATTGAAATAATAAATATTTTTAAAATAAAAGGAAAATTCTTGGACTGGGGAGGTGGCTCAGTGGCTAAAATGTTTATACAACAAGCATGAAGTTATGAGTTTGGATCCCTAGACCCCATGTAAAAGCTGGGTGCCATGTCTGTAATCATAGCACTTGGGGAGACCAGAGACAGATAGATCCCAGGTCTCTCTGGCCAGTCAGTCTAATTGAAATAGTGAGCTCCAGGTTCAGTGAGAGACCCTAAAATAAGATGAAGCACAGTGAGGAAGATACCTGGGGTCAGCCTCTGGCCTCTACATGTGCTCATACAAGTGAACACAACAGCACATACAAGCACACAAAAAAGGAAAAGTCGGGCTGTGGTTCAGTCATGAGGACAGAAATCCTCTGACGACATTCTGTTATTCACCCCAAACTGTCATTAAATACCTAGTGTCACATAGTGTTACCCAGATGTGAATCATGACTGTTAAGAACTTAAGTTTTTATAGCGGTGTTATTGATGTGTTCATGTTGCTACTTGTTTTATGATACAGTGAAAGAGCGTGGAGGAGTCTTTCATCTCGGTATTTATCCTCACACGGTAACCCAGCTTCCCATCTGCTGGGAGGACACTGAGTAAAGTGGCTTTGGCCCTTTGTATGATTTTCTTTTTCTTCTCTCTGCTTCCTGGTGTGACTCCCTTCCAGAGCCACAGCATTTTACAACAACTGTGACTCGGTGCAGCCCAACTGTGGCCTTTGTGGAGTTTTCTTCCAGCCCCCAGCCGAAGAATGAGGTGCCAGAGGAACAAGATCAGAAGCCAGAAAATGAGATGAGTGGGAAGGTGGAGCTGGTGCTGTCCCAAAAGGTGACATTATAATCCAGAAGTTTCCATGGCTGCCCAGTGTAGACTTGCTCTCCTGAATTTTTTTTCCTATCTTCAATCTATATTTTTCTCTAAAAATATATTTAGTATATGTTCATTGTGAAACACTTAAATATATGTAGAGAGGGGCTAGAGAGATGCCTCAGCGGTTAAGAACACCACATATAACTTCAGTTGGCTAACAACCACCCATAACTCCACTTCAGGGAATCCGATGCCCTCTTCTGGCCTCTGTGGGCATTGCATGACAGGGGTGCACTTACCTACATGCAGGCAATACACACATACACATAAAATAAAAATAATAAATAAATTTAAAAAAAAATAAATATATGTAGCGAAAATGGGGAAAACATATATACATCATGAATATATCAAATACTAGAGTATATATAAGCATCTTTTAAAATATGCCAGTAGAATGAGAGGGGAAAATTACTGAAACATATGCTTCTGTATTAGTAATACTTTCAACATTTAAAAATTTGAATTTCATATTAACAGTATTTAATTCTATTTAAATGTAAACATGAAGCCTTGCAGTTTTAGCTCACTGTGTATGAGCTTGCTGATTTGCTTCTTAATGTGACAGCTTACTAAATATTCTCTTTCCAATATTTACCTGCTTTTTGGCAATGATATTCTTTTTTCTTTGTTTTTTGGTTTTTTTTTTTTTTTTCTTTGAAACAGAATCTCCCTGTAGCCCCAGCTGGCCTGCAACTCACTGTGTAGACCAGGCTGGCCTCAATCTCAGAGATCTGCCTGCCTCTGCCTCCCAAGGGCAAGGTGTGCCACCACGCCCAATGCAGTGCTATTTCCTCACCTCAAGTCTTACTCATATTCATTGGGTTTTAATTTAAATACTGAATCTACAACGTCTTCATTGTTTATCTCAGATGTTGGTTGATTCTAAAGAATTTTTAAAACTATGGAGTGTATTCCAGACCAAATAGACAGAGACTGTCTGGACAAATGGCCCAGATATCTATAAAAGTTCCTCAGTAACTCTAACACCCACTGAGGGACAGCTATTGCCTTGTATATTAGTCAAATTATTTGTGGTGGAATAAACATAAATTTGGATTTGATCTGAAAGTGAAAATTTTACCACTTAGTTCCATCCATCACTGACTGAGCCATACTAACTGTGCACCTGCTATGTGTGAGCTACCAAATGGGGAACAGGACACAGCACCTCGTCTCATGGAGCTTAGTGGAGTGTCCTTGGTAGAGCCTCTAAAATGCTCATTGCCTGGTGCATTTTGGGTATTTTGGACTTTAGCTATTCCCCATCTTTAAACATAGAGAATTATAGAACCATCTGGAGGTCTGTAAAGGGAAGTCAAACTGTAGGTCAAACAGTAGGGTGGGGCAGGCAGGCTTTCCTGTCTTTACTGTTTTGCCTTATCTATATTTATAATCATTATTATTCCAAACTCATTTTCACTTAAATCTAAACTGAAAGGAAGAGTGCTCCTGCTGCTCCTGCATATATGTAAAATTCTGCATCATTCCTAGAATTTTGTTACAACCAACCAAATGACTGCCAAGATGAGATGTTTTTGCTGGCATTCCTCATCAGTGTCCCCTCATCAGTGTGAGCCATCTTAAGACTTCCATTTTCATGTCCAATCCACTATGGGGAAAAAATATTTTCATGGCTTCTCAGGTTATTTGTTTTGTTTGAGAATGGTAAACATTATTCTCAGATTCATATTTTTAAAGCATAAAATACCCAGGATTATCAAGTTATCCTTGGTAGCAAATGGTTCCAAGTCCATACCCTTTGAATCTATGCTATTGACTGCAGGTTTGGAAGTCCTGGTAGTTGGTTAGCAAGTAGAATAATGATCTTGAGGGCAATGCTTTCCCCACCGTCTGTGACTTCCTGTTCTTCCTTCCAGTGCTGGCAACAGCTTTTGCTTTCTGATTTCACTTGAGGGTGTTACCTTTGTAAAAAACAGAGCTCCACAGCTAGAGAGATGGCTCAACAGTTAAGAACACTGACTGTTCTTGCAGAAGACCCGGGTTTGAATCCCAGAACCCACATGGCAACTAACAGCCATCCATAACTCAAGTTCCAGGGGATCCGACAGCCTCTTCTGTCCTCCACGGGCATTGCACGACATGGGTGCACTTACCTACATGCAAGCATAACACTCATACACATAAAATAAAAATAATAAAAACAGAGCTCCAGGCTGACTTTCTCCATAGCATCATTGTGGACATGTCTGCATTAACTCTATTATTTGCACCCAGTTATTATCTGAAACTTGTTCTTGTCATCGTCCACTTCTGAGGAAGTGGTATCTGTGAGCTTAAGACTAGAGAGTTGTGAGAACTGGAGAGATGGCTCAGTGGTTAAGAATGTGCATTGCTCTTGCAGAGGACCTGCCTTCTTAGCACCCTCATTGGGTGGCTCACAACCACCTATAACCCCTGCTCTAGGGAGAGCTAACAGCTCTGGCCTACACAGCCACCTGCTGCTTCATTCACATGCATACACACACACACACACACAGACACGCCCACATACACATAATTAAAAGTAAAAATAAATCTTTTTTTTAAAGGGGGTTGAACTTGAGGGTTGTGAACTTTGGTAAGAGACCAGGCCTTAGCTTTTGCTACAATGCTGACTAAGGTGATTGATGATACTGTCTTCAAGATTCTTTTGGAGTTGAATATACTCTTGATAAAGAAAAATAAAATCTGACAGAGAAGAAATCCTAACATTAATTTATCCTAAGAACCAAACCATAGATCAGCTTAGGATAAAATAAATGTGGCATAGCCTGAGGTCATTAGCTGTCATACTAACTTTTGCTAACACAACCACCAGCCTGAGATGAAGTCAGTTAAACCCTATGAGCAGCTGAAAGGACAGGAACCCAAGCCATGCTCTCCACTCACATCCAGGAGTCTGTGTCTTTCACCTTAGGCACTGTTGAAAAGTTTGGTCATCTGTCTCTAGCGGTAAATTGGAAACAGGACAGCAGGAAAGTCCTTCTGCTAAAGGTCATTAGATTAGGAAGAAACAAAATCCCAGCTCTTGGGAAGCAGAGGCAGATGGATCTCTGTGATTAGAGACCAGCCTGGTCTACATAGTGAGTTTCAGGCCAGCTGGGGCTGCAGGGAGACCCTGTCTCAAAAGACCAATAAACGAAACAACAAAAATTGAATAGTAAAAATAAGGAAAAAATTCGAAAAGCAAAAAAAAAATTTAAAGCCTGTAGTTTTGGAACTATATACCGTAAGGACAAGTCATCTAATGTGCCTCAAAAACTCCCTAAGTGCATCTCTGTCCTGGCACTGTTTGATAACAGTTATTTGTAGTAATATCTCTTTCTCAATAGGCAAAATGTTCATTGAACATTTAGCACTTACAGAGATGGTTTTAAATCATCTTACATGGAATATCTCATTTCCTGACAAGTCAATAAATATTGTGTGGTGCCCAAAGAAAAATATGTGCTGGGTCAGTAAGAAGTGGAGCATGGTATGTGGTTCTATAGGCAGAATACTGTCTCCTGGGATTGAAGAAAGGGGGTCATCGCATTTTTATGACCTTGTTTGATTTCTAAGATGCTGATACAGAAAAGCATGAAAAGACATTAGGGAACGAAAAAAATCTCTATTGTCAAGTTAAGTGGCTAAGCTTCTTAGTTTGTTTAAATCATGCTGTGAGATTGGTGCAGTGGTGGATAGTCTTTATTATGTTTATGTCTGTTGCTGTGATTCAGGTGGTCAAGCCAAAATCCCCAGAACCAGAAGCAACCTTGACATATCCATTTCTTGACAAAATGCCTGAAACAAACCAACTACATTTGCCAAATCTCAGTTCTCAAGGTAAGGAGGAAAAAATGTTTTGTCTAGGTGTTCAAAGTCTGCTGGGCCCAGCTGTAGTAAAATACACTTTAAAAGCTGGTTGAACTCCTTATGCTGATGTTCTTTTAGCCATGTTGTTTACCAAAGTCTGTGAATTGAGAACTTTAAAATGGAAAGCTGAGATGCAGGAACCCAGCCACTGAGACCACCCTGTCAGCCAGACCCCATGGGCACAACAGCCTTATACAAGTGTTTGAGATCTTCAGAATTTTTATATTGGCTTCAAAAGATGAAAAGATAGTTAAAAATGAAAACTCAGTATGTTTTGCAAAAAAGTTTCTCTCTTAATATTATAGAAACTTTAGTGTTCGTTCTAGTCCTCATAAAATACCCAGTTCATTAGTAATTTAGGGAAAAGTGAGAGTGTTTATTCCATGGTAATTTTGGGGCATACACAGTGCTTACTGAAGAATCACTCACTTCAGAGATGAAACATGTTACTCAGCCAAATATTTTACTCTTTCCAAAATTTCTTTATAGTAAGAAAATTTAATATTTTTTAAATAAAATACATGAGACATTTAGAGATAGCCTCATCTCAGTATGTTTGTAAACACACTAGGTTATGTTTTAGTATGTTTAACATATACATACTGGGATATATTTTAGTATGTTTTACCTGTTTGCCACATTTTAATATATTTGATATAATGTGGGAAGGGATAGCTTCTAAATATATGGGAGTTGAGTACCTATAAAAGTCTTAAAATCATGCTGGCCCCAGGTACTTCAAGGCCATATATGAAATGTGAGCTCACTCTTTCATTAAGAACTCAACTATAAGCCCTTTATCCTTGTGGGAAACCTGGGAGCAGTGGAAGATGCATTCTGAGAATCTGGCTGTCTTTGAGGATTATTCCTCAAAGCAGATAGATCAAGGCTGTACTAACTCAGGTTCTCTAGATGTAGAAACAGTCAGTGTGGGAGGCAAGGACTGTAAGGTTCTTTGTGTTTCTGTGTTAACAGTCTTCCCTAGTGTGTTTTGTAGATCTGATTTGTCGGTCAGAGAGGATGGTACCTGGGATTATTATCTCTCTTTTCAAGGGTGAGCAGTTATTTGGGATCACCATTGAGAAAAGAATATGAGTTGGCTTCCTATAGCCTTTGTTGGTATTAAAATGGGGAGCATTCGGAAGGGAATGAACTGATACATGTACTCATGGTCATTTGTTTCTTAATGTAGAGGCTAATTCAGTATTACCTTCAATGCATTTGACTTAAACTTGTCAGTCCTATAGTCCTGACCAGAGTCAACAAAAATAAAATCTCTCAGCTGGGCCAAGCACTTGGCCATATTTAGGCACTATAATTCTCCTGTTTCTAGAACTTTGTAATTATGTAAATAAGGAATATAGAGTGGCGCAAGATGTTGAAGCCATATTGATTAGTCTTCTTGCCTCACACAGTTATATATTCTGATTCCTGTTGCACATAAGGCAACAGGGTTTCAAGAAAATGTGCTATTGACTTAAGGGACTTTATTTCATACTTTACCCAACTCAAATAATTAAAAAGTAAAATCTAGTAACACTGGAGCATCTCAAAGCTAAATCCTCAAGGTAGACTATACTTGACGTGCCCTTGTACTGTAAGTCTGGGCTCTGGAGACAGAGCACCTGGTTCAAATTCATGCTCATCTAGTTCTTAGCTATGCAGCCTTACCCACCAGGGTCTCCTAAAGTCTAACCATCACCTGTCAAGTGGAAATAATCATGCACCAACTCTTAGGAGAATTGGAAACATTACTTAATACATAAAAGGTTCTTAGCTCAATATCTGGCCCAGAATATACGCTCTAATAATGTAATCCAGTGATACAGGACAGTAGCCATGAGTAGAAGTGCAAGGCAAAACTCTAGGCAGAATAAACTCTTAAACGCTCTCCTTGTAAAGAGCAGTATCCTAGTTTGCTTTCTGTTGCTGTGATAAAACACTATGACCAAACAAAAACAACTTGGGGAGGGAAAAGTTTTAGTCTATCTTATACTTCCGGGTGACAGTCCTTCTTTGAGGGAAGTCAGAGTAGGAATTCAAGAAAGATTCTGGAGACAAGAGCTGAAGCAGAGACCAGGGAGGAACACTGTTTACTGGCTTGCTTCCCCTGGCTTGCTCAGCTATCTTTCTTAGACTACCCAGGCCCACCTGCCCAGGGATGGCATCGCCCACAATGATCTGGGCCCTTCTACATCAATTAGCAATTAAGAAAATGCCTCACAGATATGGCCGCAGGCCAGTCTGATGGAGGAAATTCCTCAGTTGAAGTTTCCTGTTTCCAAGCGTATCAAGTTGACAACTGAAGCTATTGAGCACAAGGAGCCTTGGCATCACAGAGACATGGCTTGAAGTAGCAGTTCTCTAATGTGTGCCTGTGCCTGCAGAGCCTGGGGTCTACTTCCTTGGGGTCTGCTTCATAGGTCTGGGCAGAGGCCTGAGAATTTGTACTTCTAACAAATCTTAGTGCTCAGGTGATACAGATGTGGCAGACCAGGACTCACATCCTGAAAGCTATTGAGCTGTTTATTTAAATTGTGCCTCAAAGACACTGCTGACAGACATGGAACTAATGATATTATTTAGGCTCTAGAAAGGCTTGTCTTTGTGGAAGCAAGGCGCCTTTAACAAATGTAACCTTTAAAGGGGTGATTTGTCTTTAATTGGAGTGTAGGGAGGGACATCATGGTTCATAGCCCAGATATTAAAAAGTCAGTACACATTTAAGTGATAAGAATGAAGTCCAAAAGAGGCAGGAATCCTGGAGCCACACTTCAAATACTGCCCCCTGTAGAAAGTGGCATCCTCTTGATTTCTTTAAAGTCATCTGTTTATGGATCTTCACACAGGCCAACGCAAGTCTACCTGTCAATCCCAACGATGTTCACAGGTTCCTCCTAAGCGTATATACATGCATCAACAGTCTTTAAAAATTCTGGAAACACCCATAAAATACTGTTAAAACTGAAAAAATTCTCTTTACCTGACTGTCTGGAAACAGTAACAATATCTCAAAGTTGTGCTTCCATACAATGTGTGCACACTTTAAAACCTGCAGTGTTCATTGCTGTGTGAATGATGGGGTAATAGAACCCAAGACTTAAGAATTCAAATGCTTGCCAGGAGTTGGATGCACTTGGAGTACCACAGGCAGCCACACATGCAGGCCTGTCTGTACTATGAAAGGAAGCCAGCCACAGACTTCATCCCTTTCATCAGGTGAGATGTGGATAATATAACCCAACTTCCCATCTCTGCAGCCTTTTATAATGTCCTAGTGTCCTCCTAAGGCTGTGTGAACACTGCAGTTTGCCCTGTAGAGCATGTTGTTGCATCATTTTGAGCTTCCACAACAATATCCCCACTAAGCTGGGCCTGAAAACTTCCACCAACACCTAGACAAAGGACCATAAATTGCCCTATTTCTACTGACCTTTGTCCAGATCTTCAGGTTTTACATGTGTTTTAGTGAGACATTTTACATATTAGGTTCAAGGCTGTCAATCCTTAGGTTGGCTACAACTGTCCCTTCTTTGATGTGACAGGACATGGTTCTGTTTGATTCTCACCATTTTCATGGTTTTCTGTTTGTTCTGTTCTGCCATCTGATCTAGAGTCGCCTGGCACTGCCAGTGTTCCGCTTAGAGTTCAGAACTCTTGGCGACGATCCCAGTTTTTCTCCCGGTCAGGTAAACTGCACTGCTAGGTAGCTGCATTTCTTTTGTGCAAAAATCCATGTTGGGGCAACCAGTGGTGTCTGGCATTTGTCTTCATTTCTGATTTCAGAGAGAAAAAAAAGATGTTTGTTTCTGACACACAGTTAGCAAAGAGCCGATTGTTTGATACCAGTACCATTGTACTAAAATTTGGAGGAAATTTTATGCTGATTTTGAGATTCAAAAGAAACAATATAATTTGCCTGTTTCCCCTTTTAAACGTAAGAAGCATTTATCACAAATGTGGTTGTTCTCTTGTTAACTGTGTCACTCTCTGTTCTTCCTGGTTGACTTCTGGCCTCTCTGTACTGGTCTCTCCATGTCAGACAGTAGTACATGCTCTTTCAGTCAGAAGTCAAGTGCATTAAGAGCCAGCACTAACGGCAATAGTTGTCACTTCCCATAGTCTAGCGCCTGGAGCTGACGGGTGTGGTCAGTTGTATTACATTCTTCATTTCTTTTGGTGATGGGTGCCACCTGCTTCAGGACTCCGCTTAATTGTGATTTTCTAATGTTTTTGATATTTTAAAAATTAAGAAAATTTAGTCTGAAGTTGACGTAGAAAGTCCACTCCACTAAGAAGATCAAAAGGCAAACACACCTAGAAGCTGCTCCCATTCATTCCTTCTTTTCTTTCTTTTGTTCTGTATAGCAGATTCGCCAAGCAGTGAAAAGTCTCCTGTAACTACACCTGTAAGTAACTCCCTTTAATGAATAGGATTATGCATTTAGACTGATTTCAGCTTATATTTGATTTTCTTTAAAAGTATTCAACCAAAACTGAGATTTTAAAATGCTTTTCAAAGAATAATGTAATACTGTCAGGCTGATAGTGAAGACAAGGATTGTCATTACTCGAGGTCATTATCCTGCCTGGAAACAAAGTGATGTCAACAAAGTTCAATCTAAAAGAAGCACTCAAGGGGCTGGAGAGACAACTCCAGGGTTAAGAGCACTTTCTGTTCTTCCAGAGGACCCAGGTTCAACTCCCAGCACCCACATGGTGGCTCTGGCTCTGCCATCCTCTTCCGGCCTTTGTGGGCACAGCACACATACCAGTAAACATGCCAGCCATCAAAACACTTGTACAAATTAAGAAATAAAAATAAAAAGAGCATTTAAAATGAACATGATAGGGACTGGAGAGATGTCTCAGTGGGTAAAATGCTTGTCACACAAGCATGAGGGCCTTAGTTCAGATCATCAGAACCCACGTAAGGCCAGACACAAAAACACATGTCTGTAATCCCAGCATTACTGTGGCTAGATGGGAGGCAGAAACAGGAGAACTCCCAGAAGCGTATTGCCAGCCAGCCTGGTGTATGCAGTGAAAACTGAGAGACCTGGGCCCAAATGAGGTGGAAGAAGGTGAGGACCGAAGGTGGGAACATATGCACCTGCACTCGCAAACATAGACACATACGCAGTTTTTAAAATTTTGATAGTAGGAATTAGTATTAAAATAGAGACACTTTTTTTTGGTGGTAATGCTGGGGCTCAAACTCAGAGCTTTGAGCATATGAGGCAAATGCTCTACTGATAAGCTATCTCCCTAGCTCTCAACCTTATTTGTTTATAATAACAACAGCACTTCAGTATAACACAGTACTAGCAGACAACCCAGCCTGGACTTTCTCTGGGTTTGCCTCAGTCATTCCCACCTTCACAGTTGGGCTCTTGAATTACATTACTTGTTCATACTGCATTCTATTTTTTATTTTAATGGAATAAGAAAGCACGTCAAGATGTGACGCTGTGACAATTCCTGGCTGCAGATTATATTTGAACTGACATATAATCCTCTTGTCCTCATTTACCCTCTGAAATAGCCATCAAATCTGGAGGTCTGTGGTACAACCAGTGGCAGCCTTGAGCCCTTCAGTCCCCTGGGCAAGCCTTGTGATCACTGCTGTAGCTTTGATCCCAGATTTATTACCTGTCCACCTCTGAAGGTCATGTATAATGCCTCCATACCTCATCTTCCTTGACTGTGCAGTGAGATGCGATGCTAATAGCTTTCTTTTAGGGTTGTTGTGAGCCTTAGTTGAGATCATACAGCTGCCTCTGCAGCACATAATGCATGAATGACTCCTGCCTTCCCAGTAACCAATCCAAGATGCTCACCATAACTGGTACCAGTTCTTATCTATAGATGAATTTTCTCACTTTGAGAATACTTAAGTGCCCATGTAGAATGGAGAAGGGACCTGTCACTTGGCATATAACCCTTTGATGTCTGTAGACACATTTCAGAACTAGGGACCATATGTGGCGTTTCAACCATAAACCAATACTGGAAATCTGGAGTTTCCTGGGAAACTAAATCCACTCAAGTGGGCGGGAAACCCAGAAGGACTTCAAAGCTGGCAGAGTGGCCCAGAGCTGAAGGGGATGCTGCACCCCATTGACTTCCAACTTAAACTGTATTTGGATGAAGGATGTCAAACTGTTCATGTGTCCCTGGGTGGGGATGGAGAAAAAGGGGCTCACCAAAAAGACACACTCATTTTCCATTTGTAAAAGGTAAAAGAGAGGGAAAACATGGGTTCAGAGCTAACTGTGTTCTTCCTCATTCCCAAACTTGCAAAAACCTTCTATAAGGATTTTATAAATCATAAATCCTTGGGTTTGTGTATTTATTATACTGGCTTCAAGGCTGGTGCTCCTCTTATTGGGATCTTGGGTGATATAGGTGAGCATTGGAGACTTAAATGACCCACTTGGGAGAAAGCTGCTGTAGAAAGCAATAGTGGTAAAAAGCATTCATTTCAAAGTGCATCAGACACCAGTTCTAACACAATACATTTCTCTTGAAATAACCCCCACCCCCACCTTGACCAGAATTACTGTGCAATATGAACATCTTTCACTCAGGAGCATGATGCTCCTGATATCCTTCTGAGAGAAATAGAGCAAAGATTTCTCATATCTGATGTGAATTACTTTGTGTTTCCATTATCCCTAAAAAGATACAGAACCAGCCCAGTACCTTGGAGGTAGAGTAAAAATGGACTAAATTGGAAAAACGATTTCTGTCGCCAAAAAGGACATTTAGATATGTAAAGACCTGTTTCTATGCCCCTCTGGTGCCAGGTTGGAGGGTAATTGCTTTCTCAAGGATGTGGCTCGGTTTTGATCATGGATTTCTTTGTTTTTCCTGTTTAGTTTAAGTTCTGGGCTTGGGACCCGGAAGAGGAACGCAGGCGACAGGAAAAGTGGCAACAGGAGCAGGAGCGTTTGCTCCAGGTAGGACTAGCTCTCTGCTTTCCCCCTGTCTTGAACTGCGCTTTCCTAAGTTCTGTTGCATTGAATAGGTTTTTAGCACAGGAAACATGGAATCCAATTCTTCTCAGAAATCCATGAAGTCCGTCTATGCTTTGTGTGCAGGCAACAAGAGTCCTGCACCCGATTCCTTCTGCCAACAGGAACAGTGATGAACAGGAGAGAAAAAAAAGTGCATATTAATACTTTAGAAAACAATCTCCAAGCAATGATTAAGAGTCAGTCCACCTGTATCCGTTACCTCCTTAGACATCAGTTTCTAGTCCAAGAAGCTATGAGAATGAATCATCCAAAAGCTATTTGATAACATTCAGGTAGAATAAAATTGGTATAAGATAAAAATCTAATTCCTTCAGTAGAATAATTGTTCCATATTTCAGTGAAAGCTGCTAATTACCAGCTCTAGAAAGGTCCTGGGAAGAAATGTAGCATGCTTCAACTTACCTCATGCCTAGATTAGCCGGGCTTCCCAAAGTAGCCTAGTGACCTCAGAAACTAACTTATGTTGAGTACTAGGGCTGTGCCAGAAACTGCAGTTGGTCCTTACACATTTTATCAGCCCTTCAAAACAGGACTGATTAGCCCATTTGAAGCTAAAGACATGAATGCTCACAGAAGTGGGATTAATTGCCCCAAATCACACAACTAGTAAATATAGAGCCTGGACTCAAATCCATGTCTATACAGCTTTAAAACTCATGTTGTCTTTACCACATAGCAAAGCCCCATATTAAAAGTCATCAGAAACTGACATAGGAGAAGGCGGCTAACCCTCATTGAATCTGATGGCTCCATACTGCTGTATAGAACTCGTGTGGGGGGAGGCTCAGTGGTTAAAAGCACTGACTGCTCTTGCAGAGGACTTAGATTTGATTCCCAACACCCACGTGGTGGCTAACAACCATCCATAACTCCAGTTCCAGGGGATCCATTGTCTTCTGGCCTCCATGGGCATTGCACGACACGAGTGCACTTACATACATGCAGGCAATGCACTTATACACATAAAATAAAAGTAAATATTTATAGAACTCACATGTGATACCAATTTATTTCCTCTTGAGTTTTTGCTCTAATTCTTTTGGCCCAATTTCCGCAGGTAGAGGAGTAGGTCCATAGCTAAATCATTTAGTCTGGCTTTAGCTCTGCAGTTCAGTTTGGCGACTTTGAAAACTGCAGAGGGTTAGGCCTTGAATACCAAAATGATAGTAAGAACTCCTGAAATTCTACTCTAAAATTTTACAATAATGGGGGAGGTCTTTGTTTTTGTTTTAGAAATTGATTTTGGGATTTTTTTGGAGAGGGTCTCTCTAGGTAACCCCATCTGGCCTCAAACGTGTGGAAATCTGTCTCTGTCTCCCTAGTGCTGGGATTAGAAGCATGCACCACTTTGCCCAGCTTTTACAACATTTAATTTGATAATAGTTTTCATTGTTGTTGTTCGGGGTGGGGAGGGGTTGAGACAACGTCTCACAGTAGTCCCAGCTGGCCTGGAACTTGCTATGTAGACCAGACCAGCCTTGATCTCATAGAGATCCACCTGCCTCTTTCTCCCAGTGCTGGGATTAAAGGTGTGTGCCACCATGCCTGGCTTTGATTTTTATGATAATTTTTTTATATAGCCACAGGTACCTCTGGTAGAATGCTAACAAGAACACCAACCTCCAGATGTCCTCATGAAGGCCTTTTTGCTCCTAAGATAATGGCATAACAGCTTCCAGCTATGGATATGTCAGTGCCTTCCCCTGTACTGCAGACTCCCTTAGCCCCAGACAACTGACAGCAGCCAGCCTAAGGGTTGGAGTATGACTGTGTACATGCCCATGACTCCTTTGTGTCTGTCCTGTGTGTCTGTCCTGTGAGGACACATTCTCAGACTTTCATGGGGACAGTTCTCTTTTCATGCATTGATTTTAATCTTTACTTACTTGGTGGGGGTGGGGAGTCTGGTCAGGTGTTGGGGATTCCTTACACATTTTTTAATGCCATCCTTATTCAGAGTGTTTTACTTTCCATAAGAAGTGGTGACTAGTAGTGTACTATTTCTGAATACAAAGATGGAAGTTCTCATATAAAAATCATTTTAATGGGTTATTTAAAGGCTGCTCTTAATTCAAAGTTGCTATGAGCTGGGAAGATTTCATTTTGGTCAGTAGTGACAAGCAGAGACATGCACTCAGCTAATGATTATCCTGAGCCCGTCGGACCTGTCTGCGTTGTCTCTTTTGTCAACCTACCGGGTTTTTACAATCTTTCCTTAAATTCTCCTGGCAGCATTATAATTTGGGTTTTGTTTAGTTAGTTGGTTTTTGCAGTATTTGGGTTCAAGCCCAGACCACGGCACATGCTAGGCAAGGGTTCTACTATTGAACTATATCCCCAGCCCAGCAATATGTTTCTACTAATGAAACGCAAAGCCTCACTTCTAAAGCAACCAGTCGAAGCAGACTGGCTTAACCAATCTAGGACAACTCAAGTTAAGGAAGATTATTAAATTTTTTTCATCTTTCCACATGCTTTTGGGCCTTTTCCCACTCCTCCTTCTGGTATAGGACCAGGCAAATCTCTATTTACCTATTTAAAGACTACTACTAAAAGCAAAGGCAGAGAGTACTGTTTCCTGAAGGATTTTTTTAATGTTCCTAACTCATTTGTGTGGTCCATGATAATATTTCCCTCTTACATCATACATGCATTCCAAATGTTACTTCAAGCTGGGCAGGTGCACACCTTTTATCCCAGCACTTGGGGATAGAAGCAGGCAGATCCTTGTAAGTTCAATGCCAACCTAGTCTACATAGTGAGACAGTAAGATCAAGAAGATAATCTTGTAATATCTTGCACACTGTGACTTAGAGACGTGATACATGCAGTGGTCACAATCTGTGGTCATTCTATACAGGAGAGGTACCAGAAAGAACAGGACAAGCTGAAGGAGGAGTGGGAAAGGGCCCAAAAGGAGGTGGAAGAGGAGGAACGCAGATACTACGAGGAGGTAGGAAATTCCCAAAAGAATCTTTGTCACCCCAGTTCCTCAGAATCTGTCATTGCCCTGTGTATGTGTGGGATAAGTGTGCATGTGATTGTGTCTTACTATCACAGCAAAACCTCACTAACCTCTTTAAGAGAGTCACATCATATGGGTTCTAACAGATCTCAGTAGCCCCCCAAATATGAATTGTGGGAAGAATGTGTTGAGCCTTGTTCAAGCAGACAATATAATTACACCTGTTCTCTGGCCAGTTCCTGATCTTTGATCTGTCTTGATAACACAAAAAAAATCAACTCAAATAAACCCAACTCAAATAACAGATCACTCTATGATCTGTTAGCAAGCCCAATAAACTAGTTTGGATTTTCAAAAAAAGAACAAAGCTAATGAAAACCTTCATTATTCCACCAAAGTTGACCTCATTTTGGCAAATCCTTTGGTCTTTGATGTTTTTTTTTGGGGGGGGCGCTGTCTTTTTGGGACAGCATCGCCCTGTGACCCCCGCTGACCTGGAGCTTGCTGGGTAGATTGGACTGGCCTCGAGCTGCTGGGCTCTGCCTCCCAAGTGCTGGGATTGAGGACGTGTGTCACCATGCTCAGCTTTAGTCTTTGGTTTCTTATCCTTACTTTTCCACCCTTAAACTTCATTGTATATATATTTTTATGTAACCTGCTTCAAGTTATTTCTGGAAAAAAATGTGTTAAAAAGTGCCTCTCTTTGGAATAATAAAAATATTCTGGTGGCACACACCTTTAGTCGCAGCACTCGGGAGGCAGAGGCAGGCGGATCTCTGTGAGTTCAAGACCAGCCTGGTCTACATAGTGAGTTCCAGGACAGCTGGAGCTACAGGGAGACCCTGTCTCAAAAAAAAGACTAAAAAAAAAATAATTAACTCATTTGTGTGTGTGCCTGCTTATATTATAGCAAGCATGTTTGGTAGTAATAAATTTATTTTATAGGATAATTTTTGTATTGAAGCTAAATACATCCTTGTTACTGACTACACTCATATAATACTAGAGGAATTTGTGGAAATTTTTTTTTTGTTTCTCCTTCATTTTTTCAAACAACACATTTACAGAATTTGGAGGAGGCTACATTTTATGTCATCTAAAATTTCCTGTCATCAATATTGAGAACCTTACCTTCAACAATAACTTTTGTGCCTAATTAATTCTATGCAGTATTTCTAAACTAGGCTTCTTCTGTAACACTAATTAAACTTTGTGTTTGCAAATTCCATGCACATTTCTAAATTACTGTCCATAGAGTATTGATTTGTATGCTTTTGCAAAATAAGATTTTTGTATGTTCTGCTTATTTGCATATATTCTGATATATTTGTTTTCCTAGAGTTCTTTAATACCATTTTTTCTCTTGGCAGATAAAAAAAATTTTTTCTCCCTTTCTCTCATTCTTACCTTCTTAGGAGCGCAAAATAATTGAAGACACTGTGGTTCCATTCACTGTTTCCTCAAGTTCTGCAGATCAGCTTTCTACTTCCTCCTCTATAACTGAGAGCAGCGGGACAATGGTGAGATCACAGATGAAAACCACCTTACAGCATATATGAACCTAAACAGAAGTATAAAGCCACACGTTCCATCAAACTAGTAGCTTAAAACCAGGACCCACTATTCCTCTAGACCTACCATCTGCTCCCAGGTGGCCCTTGTACCCAATGCCACCTCCATGGCCATGGCCAAGCCCTAGACTCTTTTCCTACAGAGCAATAAAGTTATTGCACTGGCCAGCCAGATCTGTCCAGAGATGCTGGCAAGGTCTCAAGCAGCAAGGCCGAGTGCTGGAACCTTCTCTCTGCCTGACCCAAGGATCACTGTTCTTCCCACAGCCATGTGCTCATCCCCCACCATGCCGTGCATTCTTCTGCATTATTTGGCAGCCACAGACATGTTTGCCATGTATTCCCTACCAGCTTCCATAAAAATGACTTCTTACCCTGAAAATTCCATGAGACATTCACTAATCTTTGAGCACTAGAGAGGAGCCTTGGACAGGCTGGTGGACCGCCACATCCTCCAAGTAAGGTTACAGATGTACTGGACACAAGCCATACCAAGACCTACATAGTCTGTAGTCTGCATAGAGTAAAATAACTCAAGGACACCAGAAAGCCATTTTTCCTGAAGTAAGCAGTTCTGTGCCTGTGTTTTGTTTTGAAGGGGGTAGGATTCTAACCAACCCCTTTTGTGATAATTTTTAGAAAGATCTCAAATGCACATTTATTCTAAATACTCAGGCATCATTGGAATCTGTTACTTTGGAAGACTGTTCTTTGAATGGTAGTAGGCAGTGTGACTGACACGTGCTTCACAGGGTTGGAGAAAGATGTAGAAGAATGGGTGGCTGTGTCAGTGCACACTGTGCAGAAACTCACAGTGAATCTCATCCATGTCTACAGAAATTCATGTTAAGAATTTCTAAAAAGTTTGAGCAAAAATTAAAACTTTCATGATTCAAAGAAAGGAAGGAAGGGGAGGTGAGGAGGGGGTTCAGATATCCCCTGGCCAGGTATAACTGTCATCCAGTGTATTTAAAAACTATAGTCAAAATTATCCTTATTGTTTCCATTAGAATAAGAGAGACTTGAAGAACTGTCAAGATGAAGAAAAAGAGAGAAGACAGAAGAAACCTTTCCAGGGGGATGACAGTGACTTCTTGCTCAAGGCTAGGGAAAGTGGTCCACCAGAGGAGGACAGGTATGGGTCCATACCAGACTGTTATGGAGAATTCACAAAGCTGGGCTCTGCCATTCACTCCCAGGAAGGAACCCTCACTGCTTTGAAATGATCACTCCAGAAATGCATTGCACATTGCTTAAACATGCACTGATGTCAGTGTCCTTACATTTTCAAATATGCCTTATTTTTAAACAGACAAGGCCAAGCATGGTGGCCCATACCTGTAATCCTAGCACTTGGGAAGCAGAAACTAGAGAATCATGAATTTGAAGCCAGCTTTGGGTATACAGGAAACCTTATCTCAAAAACTTTAAGAGCCAATGGGATGGCTCAGTGGGTAAAGGTACTTGCTGCTCAATCTTGGCCATCTGAATTTGATACCTGGAACCCACATAAAGATGGAAAGACTACCAACTTCACGCAGTTGTTCTCTAACCTCCATGCACACACTGCCACGATCATACACACACATACATACTCACTAATTATATATAATTACATATATTTTTAAAGATTAAAAAATTGAAATATTTTAAATAAACAGTATAGCTCATCAAAGAAGCTTGTTGTCAACTCAAAGCTCAAAACCTAAGCATCAGTTACTTGTAATAGGGAATGTGTTAGAGGGACAGAGGTTGAAATGAGGTCCTGGGGTTCCACCTCCCATGGTTCCACTGTGGGCCTGAACTTGACTGCTAGTGTCCTCTGTGATGTAAGCATGTCTACTTTGGGAAATCATCGAATAATCAATTAGTCAAATAGTTGTGGGTAGTTACTTCACACATGGGGACTCCAATTAATGTTCTATGGAAAATCGGAAAATGAAGCCAGAAACCCCTAGATCACTTAATGTAGCGCACACTGGTGCACTCTGGAGTGGATACAGGTTATGGTAGGCTTATCAATGCTACCCATGCCTAACCTGGGAGGTTATCTAAAAGAGCCCAAGAGGGGACAATTCTCTGCTATAGCATGTTCTTTATGAAACAGATGTTTGTCTCTGGGATCTGAGATACCAAATAAGTATTAGCAAGTATGTGTGTACACAGCATCCCAGAGGGACCCAAAGATGAGAAAGGCTATCTAGGCATCAGTCAGACTAGCCAAGGTGAAAGGTTAGCCGGGAGCCAAGTTTTCCCAATGAAGTTTTGCTCTGTGTGAACTGTCGTCAGGAGCTGAGCGCCAAGTCTAGACACTACACAGTCTTTGGAAGAGCACATCTGTTTCCAGCTAACACTGCTTCAAAGCATAGGAAATGAAAGCTGCCAGTCAGGAAGATGTGAATGATCCTAAAAGACATTGAGTGTGCGTTTTTGCTAGCTCTTCAGACAGGCACTGCATGTACTTTGCTATTTGCTCTTCTCCAGGCTGGCCTTATTGTCACCGGAAATTTCTCTTCTGTTTCCTTCCTCTCCCTCCTTCCTTCCTGCCTCACATGCAGACACCACTAGGAAATTAACAATGGCTACAAAGACCCCATGTGGCTTAACTGATTTGAGATAGCATATTTCTATGCAGCCCAGGCTAGCCTTGAACTCACGATGCTTCTACCTCTGTATCCTGAGTGCTGGGATTACAGGTGTATTCCACTGTGCTCAGCTTCCAAATGATTATTTGATCCATACTAATTCCTCCTTTGTAGAGATCTGGAAGCTTCCAGTTAACACAGTCATTCCTTGAAATGGGTGTCATGAAGAGCTCTGTAGACAGGATGGTGTCGGAAGTGATCATTTCTTGATTTTTTTTAAACTGGTGACTACTAAAAATATGTAGTATTATGTAATAGTTCAAAATCTAGTTTAAAATAAAAAGGATAAATAGTCCCATTTCTTGTTTTAAATTGTAGTTGTTAATTCTGTGGATAAGAACCACAAGTTTGATCTAGTTGTTAATTAAAAAAATGTAGTTGTTAATTCTCAGAGATAAGAACCACAAGGTTGATCCAGTTGCTTTTATCTCTGTTCTAAAGTATGTTTCTTTATTTTAACAGCCTAACTCAAGGGCCCTCAGCTGTCTCTGAGAACCTCATGTCAAAAGAAACCCATCAGGACCAGCAGCCAGAGGCAGAAACTGGGGCCCCACTCTGTGGGACAAACCCACAGTTAGCTCAGGGTAAGAATAGAGATTAATCTCAACATTTAAATTACCTCAAAACCTCCACTGTCCAGACAGCTGACCTCTGCTGATCGGAAACTTCTAAACTGGACTTTTAGCTTCTGCTGAATATATGATGAATAAACTTCTACTGCTGTGTGACTAGACTGTACATGATGTCATTGGGGTCCCAAGGAGACCTGAACAATTTTTAGTTCTGAAAAAGTGGAGATTTGGTTTTGGTAAGATAGTTCAGCATGTAAAAGTGCTTGCCACCAACCAAGCCTGATGACCAGGGTTCCATCCACAGGACCCACATGGTGGAAGGAGAGAAATGACTGCCACAAGTTATCCTTTGGCTTCTACATGCACATGGTGCATCCCAACCCCCACCCTCAAAAAGACCAAAAAAAAAGTTTTTGTTTTTTTTTTTTGTTTTTGTTTTTTTTTTTAGGTTTTTCTGGTTTGTTTTTGTTTTGAGACAGTGTCTCTTTGTAGCTTCAGCTGGCCTGGAATTTACCATGTAGAGCAGGCTGGCCTCGATCTCACAGAGATCTGCCTGCCTCTGCCTCCGGAGGGCTGGAATTAAAGGTGTACCACCACACTTTGCAAGAAGTCAATATTTTAAGTATTTGTTATTATAATACCAGAAATTAGTGAGAAAAAGGGCCTATTTCCAGATCCCCTTTACTTCTAGAACTAATTCACAGAATAGGACTACACTGGCCTCTTCAGTCACTGTGTGCCCATACCCATATAAAATTGCTGTGAAAAAAGTAGGCATTAGCACTTCAAAGAAAGGTGTCTGGGACTGGAGAGGTGGCTCAGTATTGGCTGCTCTTGCAGAGGACCCAGGTTCAGTTCCCAGTATCCCATGGAAGCTAACAACCATTGGTAACTCTAGTTCCCGGGGATCTGATGCCCTCTTCTGACATCTGCGGGCATTGCATGCTCATGGTGCACTTAAGTATATGCAGGCAAAACACTCCTACACATAAAATTAAAATGATTTTTTTAATTAAATAAAGAGGGGCTCTAAATATAACACAGTGGTTAAGAGCACTGGTTGCTCTTAAAGAAGACCTGGGTTCAGTTCCCAGCACCCACATAGTGGCTAACAACCATCCTTAACTCCAGTTCCAGGGGACTGTCACCTTTTTCTAGCCTCTGTGGGCATTGCACACACAGATGCATTTACATACATGTAGGCAAAACACTCATACACATAAAAATAAATATTAATTAACTAAAAGTAAAGATGTCTTGCTAGGCATCAGAGCAACTTTGCTGAGCACAAAATTTATGTTCTTTCCTTGACCTCAGATCCACCCCAGAATCAGCAAGCATCAAACCCACCAGCACACATGTCAGAAGATGTGAAGCCCAAAACCCTCCCACTGGATAAAAGCATTAATCATCAAATTGAGTCTCCAAGTGAAAGGCGGAAGTGAGTAGCCAAATAAGATGAATGTGAGATTCCTTTAAAAAAAAAAAAAAGTAGTATTGACTTAGAAGAGAGAAAAGTGTCAGATGGCAAGATTTCAGCAGCATTTTTGTGCCTTGTCTTTACTTAATCTCGTCAACAAGGCAACAAATATGTGTGATTTGGGACAGTCTTCCTGGCAAGTGAACTTTCACTCTCGAGTTCCGTGTCTGTGACACCAGAATCAATAGAAACTGAAATCACTTACACGTGATTACTACTATTATTGGTTATTGAAGTGATTTCTGCCCTTTTTTCAAACTGTGGTGTTCACGCTTTGAAAGCATGGATGAAAATGTGACTTTGAGGGAAAACAAGCTCCATGCGAAGAGGGGAGGGCAGGGTGACCTGGGCTCAGCAGTTTCACAGCTGAGCAATCAGGAGACAAGGAGGGATTCCTGCCCTGCAGTTTGCTTCCGTGTTGCTGTTTTTCTTTTCTTTGTTCTTTTCCATGTTCTAACTCTTTCTTTACAAATGAACATTTAAAAGCCAGAGCCTATTACTGATAATGCAATCCCACAAAGGGCTCCCAAGTACCCCAGCACCTGTGTGGCTGTGCTGGCAGCATGCACTGGTCTGATCTCTCATGGCCTAAAGAGTGTTAAATAATCTGAACTCCACCTTCCACTGTGTGGATGCCATGGTACTGAAAAACCACCTCCTTTAAGATCTGCCCTGAACTTCCGGGCTATCTTTAATAGTTTTTTTCATATCCTTTTTCATCTTTCCCAACCCACTGAGCCCATAATTTTTATATCAAACTCAGCATGCAAAAGCAGCTTGGTAAAAAACTTAGAGAACTCAGCAATTTTAAACTGAGAATTCCAAAATAGTCTCTTTTCTAATCAGCACTGTCAGGATGGTTCTGATTTTACATAGTCAATGCATATGCATTCCTCCTAGACAGAATTATGATTTTTGTTTTAGAAAAATATAAAACCAAGCATAAGAGCGTATGCTATAAGCCTAGCAGTTAGAAGGCTGGGGAGAGAGGATGGCAAGTTTGAGGCTAGCCTGGGCTCCTTAGTGAGAGACCTTGCCTCAAGACAAAAATGCTAGTAGATGTGTTTGTGGTCCTTGATTTGGTTGTCAAGAAGTTTGGGGTTTGGTTTTTTAATTTAAATATCTTTTATTATGATTTTTGTTAACTTGTCATAATTTTGGGCTCTGTTACCATGTTATAGGAAAAGCTCTCGAGAGAACTTCCAGGCTGGGCCCTTGTCCCCCTGTTCTCCCACCCCTCCTGGCCAGTCACCAAACAGGTACAAGAGGTCAGCAAGCCTTTCTAAGGCTGTTTTGTGTGGTCCAGCACTTGCTGGGCATAATCTCGGCCAAATCAGTGCCTGCCAAGTGATCCAGACACATCACTTCCCCTGAACACTCAGAGACAGGAGTCAGGAAAACATCCCCCATGTGCCTGCAGATTCACTGGCTGGGGAGAGAAAAAGTCAAGTGTGATACTGGCTGGTCATGGCTACCAGGCTTTAATGACAATGCATGGAACCTGCAAACTAATAATAAAACCTACCAGACAGTTGCTGGGGTTACTCTGCCTCCAAGATGCTCAGCCCTTGTAGGGCAATGGACTGTTGGCTCCTACAGAGAACCAGGCAGAGGCTGGGAAACAAAGTGTCATCCTCCTCTTTAAAGCCTCCCTAGATGGCTAATGATGGCTCTTGATATTAGTTGGCCTGTGATATCCTTAAAAACTGCCCGAGTTTCCATCTACCACAGAGACAAATGACTGAGGATTCATGGATGGAGAAACTTCATTTCACTGTTCAATAGAAGGGCAGTTTGCTGAGGACAGCTCTCCCTCTTCTAAACTGTCTGCCCTTCTGTTTCCTCTGTGGCTTATGAATGACAGTGTGTATTTATTTCTAAATTTCTCATGGAATTCCCAGAGTTTTTCAGACAGGTGTCATGGCCAGCTGATCTAGTAGAGAGAAGGCAGAAGGCGGCCATAGAAAGCCAGCCTTCAGGTGGCAGGTGGGCGGTTGGCTGTGCCCTCTCACTTGGCATAGTCTGCTGGGTTTAGTCTGTAGATGGGCATTGCGTGGGGCTGTAGGTGGAGGAAGGAAGTAGGTTCAGCCCCCAGGGGTTGTGATATAGACAGAAAGCAAGTACCCACATTGCACGTTCTGTTTTTAGTGGAAAGATGATCTGGCCAGCCCTCTTTTGCTGAAGGTAGAAGAGAGACCCAAAGAGAGAACTAGACAGCTTGCCATGAGTGTGGTGACAAAGTAGAGATCCCACTTCCTGGGCTGGCTCTCGTCTATTATGATGAGCTCTTTAATAGGTAAAAGAAAATGCTCTAGAAGGCCGATCTTTTGCAAAGAATGTTGAAGCCATGTGGAACCTTAATAAAGCTAATGAGTTTTTTAAGACATAAAAACATACGATACATATATTGAATCATCTCAAGGTGGTTCGTTTCAAGGTCACACAGACTTCTTGGAACCAATACCTCAGGCACACACAGCAGATTCAGCACCACATAGGCCCTTTGTGTGTTCAGCATAGATGGAGTTGGCGATTTACAGTTGACTGTGCTTCATTCTCTCATCTGTTCTGTGACTCACTTCATTCATGATCTGAGCATGTTTTAAAACCCATGTTTCCATTTTTATATGAGATTATGTGTTGTGTTCCAACTATTCTGAACTGAGATTTTTTAATTAAACGAGTGTTTAATTTGTCCTATAATACACTTGGCTTGGATTAAAACATATTTTGTAAACTGATATTTTATTGTACATTTTAAAAATCCAGGTCAATAAGCGGGAAGAAGCTGTGCTCTTCCTGTGGGCTGGCGTTGGGTAAAGGAGCCGCGATGATCATCGAGACCCTGAATCTCTATTTTCATATCCAGTGTTTCAGGGTATGTATACACTGCTCTTCTAAGCTGGATTTCATGGTTTTGGCCTTGCCCTGTGCTGAGAAATCCCCCCTATACATTAAGGGCCTTCATATAACTTTTCTCCAAGTGGAATAGACAAGTGGGTCCAGCCTTTAGGATAAAGGCCTCCCATCCTGAATCCCTATGGGATATTAGGTTAAAAGAAACAAACAAACAAAAAAACAAAAAAACACAGATGTGTGCCATTTGTCTTTACCAAACACTTCTTGACTTGTCCCTAAAAGCATGCATTCCATCAGGAAGCCGAGAATGGGAGGCCACGATGCTCGTGGGCCATGTGGGTTTATTTGGAGTATGATATCTTCACTGCTCCTTAAACTATTGTGATTTCAGTGTCAAAGGGTTTTAGTCCTCAATCTAATGGTATATTTTCTGCCCAGTAAGTGACTATAGCTGGTTTTAAGGATTTGGTACTCAGTATGAATATGTCTATGATCTCCTGTGCACAGTAGCTCCCTTTGAGAAGTAGCCCTGTTCACCCACCCTGCCCTAAGTCTGTTAACATTTTTGCTGTTGCTGTTCCTTAGTGTTTGTTTTCTTTCATTCTGTTTGAGACACAGTATCATGATGTAGCACGGGCTGGCCTCAAACCCCTGGCAATCTTTCTGCTTTAGCCTCTGTAGTGCTGAGGTTACTGGCTGTGCCACCACACCCAGCTACTCAGTTGCTTTTGTGATGGGGCCTCAGGCAACCATTCAGCATTCTTATTGTTGTTGTGCATTGTTAAGTATCAGCTTCTGTAATAAACACTAAACTCCATAAGGGTAAAGATTTTGTGTTTCCCTATTTTGCTTCACCTAACAGAATAGAGAGGTTTCAATAAATATTTTCAGATGGATGAGTGCAAGTGAGGATGCCTAGTTTCTAATGCCAGCTTTCCCGCTAAAGAGCAGGTGCACTAACCTGTGATACTAGGCTTATTGTAAAGTAAATGAGTTGCACTGTGTCGTTATATTGGCATCCTCTCTACTCATGAACACACCTTACACATGCACATGCGCACACACACACACACACACACGTGCATATGTGTAAGACTCCATGTTCTCCCTGCGTACTGCTAATGCACTCTTTCTCCCCCTTGAACTTTGTCCCCTTTCTTCTTGGTAGCTTCTCCTCGACTGTGAAGTCAACTTGTATGAGTTTAAAATAATTCCTGTTTTTTCTCTAATCTAAGACTGTCAGTGAGGTGGTTCTCAAATTGTACCAAACACAGTGCAAATGCAGATGGCACCATTTGCCTGGTGTCCTTCTGTCCTAGGGAGCCTTAGAGCCTGGGTCCTGAGCCCTCTGGAAGACCCTGGCACCTAGACCAACCCCCAGTGTCACCTCTCTGCTACAAATGGCAAAGCACCCCCCCACATTTCCCATCTTCCCTTCTCATTTTAACTAATGAAACTTCCATCCCAGGAATTTGTTATCCCAGGCATCCTGCCTGTAATGTGGAAGAAAGCAATGGAATAGCCGTTCCCTAGTGAGTCATCAATGCTGGAAAGCCTTTAAAGATTATTGATAGTCAAGTTTCAATTGATAATCCAGTGATCATGTGTTTATTTAAAACCAGTAGGATGCAGTCTGTTAGAAATGGTTCTTTTGTCAGGCGTGGTGGCACACCTTTAATCACAGCACTTGGGAGGCTGAGGCAGGCAGATCTCTGTGAGTTCAAGGCCAATTTGGTCTACATAGCAAGTTCCAGGCCAGCTAGGGCTACAGGAAGACCCTGGCTCAAAAAGATCCCCCAAAATGATTCTTTCATCACTATTGGGAAATTATGCATTAAAAAAGCCAAGCAGGCTCTAGACTCACTGCGGTGCCATACACCAACTTTGCGACCACAGAGCAAATCATCTGGCCCTTCTGAACCTGTGTTCTTCTCTGTAACATACAAGGAGTTAAGATAAAATACTCAAAATACATTTTACATTTGATGTAAATTGATTCATGATACAACATCTAACCCATAATAGATGCTCAATGAATTTGGAGGTGGTAGAAGTGATGCTGTGTGATTCAGTAAGCAATCACCCAGCATGGTCTACACACCATTCTTTATTCCTCTTACAGCTTCTGTCCTTTCTTCCCTGTAGTGTGGCATTTGTAAAGGACAGCTTGGAGACGCAGTGAGTGGGACAGATGTTAGGATTCGCAATGGTCTTCTCAACTGTACTGACTGCTACATGCGATCTAGAAGTGAGTATGGGGAGACTCTCGGAAGATTGCACTCCATCCATGGGATTCAGTTTAGGAATTCAAACATTTTCCACCATCAGATGACATTCCTACCCTGGGAGAATGGACTATTAGGATGGAGATTAAAGAAATAAGGCAAAAACCTCTTATTCATCGCTTACATCCTATGGGAAGTTCCGGCTCCAGTGGATAAATGACTTTTATCCAGGAGTACATGAGCACATAGAGAAAAACTGTAGGCTGTGTTTGAGATACTGCGTGGGCTCACTAAAGGGATCTTGGTGAATCAGAGGAAGGGTTAAGGTCTGCAACACTGGCCCTTGGTGAAGCCTGTCTGCAGAGGGCAGCTCCAGTTGGAGGTGATTCTCCAGTGTTTGATTAAGTGCCAATTCCCCAGCATCATAGTCCTCTACATTAAGAAGTTTGGTTACGTAACATGGCTTTGTTTTCAGGGAACTTCCCAACACACATATCTTAGTACACAATAAGATTTTAAATACTGGCTGCCTTGGGCAGCCTGCTAGGGGAACTTTTCAGTTTTCCAGTCAGGAAAGGGCATATTTACTTTTGACGCCAACAGGGGGTGCTATTGTCCAACTGCTGTTGAGACCATCTGAAACTAGCCACTGGTTTGCTCTTGAGTCCTTTGGTGGTGAGAGACCTGAACAGCAGGAGACCTTTTAATGCAAATTTGTCAATTACATTGAAAAGATGAAGTCTAAAATTCAAGACTCCATTTGTGAAAGTGAGTGAAGTATTAGAACCTTGAAGATTAAGAATAAAAATCGGAATCAAATGGTTTTATAGTTACAGATTTAGTGAATTGTTAATTCAGAGGAATATATGTCTATTGACAAAATGGTGGTAAATAACATTTTAATCTAATCTAGGTTACTTAGGTCTATGCTAAACATTTAACTTGAAGTCAAACAGTTCCAACTTAGAACTGCTGTCAGCCAACTGGACTTTTTCTATCATACATGGCACTAATATAAACCATGTATTTTATAGAAAATGCATAAATAGTATATTGTGCACATAAATATATATATACCTACATATGCAATATATAATTACATATTTTTAAACTGGGATTTTGTGTGGTTTTTTTGTTTGGTATTTTTTTGAGACAGGGTCTTCCTGTAGCCTAGAACTTGCTATGTAGACCAGGCTGGCCTTGATCTCACAGAGATCCATCTGCCTCCCAAGGTTGGTATTAATGGTGTGCGCCACCATGCCTGGTGTTCTTTGTTTTGTTTTTAAATATTTAGGAAGAGAAAATAAGCCCTTTCCTCCCAGGTTTCAATTTTCTCCCTACCATTGTCTATGATCACATGCTCATCTGAACCTGAGTGAGCCAAATGTGAATCGTGGAACCAGAAGAGGGTGCTGTTAGACTAGAGGACTGCAGGATTTCAAAAGTGCTGGCTTTTCTGTTATGAGTTTCCTTCATAAGGAGAGTGCTTGAAGGATATCAACAAACCTCATCTCACCTCTGCCTGGCAGTGACCTCTTCACATCCAGAGTTTTGGAATTTTGGTGATTCATTGTCATTTCTCTTGAAAATTAGCTTTTTGGATCTAGACTAGAAATTTTTCTGTTATGCTTACAAATATTAACTGTATTATTCCAATTAAAGACAGGAGCCCTAGATTCTTAGGAAAGTTACTGGGGGGACTGGAGAGATGGCTCAGCAGTTAAGAGTGCATACTGCTCTTGCAGAGGACCTGAGTTTGGTTCCCAGCACCCACATTAGACAGTTCATAATTACATGTAACTCCAGCTCATGGTAGGGGGGAAGCCAACTGCTGCAGGCACCTGTACTCATGTGTACAACACCCACACAGACACTATCTTTTGTAAAAAGAAAGCTATTGGAAGGTAGACTATAAATAAGAGAGAAACATTACCCTTTCTCTAAATATAATATTTTATTTGGATTGTTTTTTGGGGGAGGTCTCCCTGTAGCCCCAGCTTGGGCTGGAACTTGCTAAGTAGACCAGACTGGTCTTGGATCTCACAGAGATCTTCCTACCTCTGTCTCCTGAGTGCTGGGATTAAAGGCAAGCACCACTATGTCAAGCTTGGGATGTTTTTTAAGAATGCTAAGAAGAAAGCAAAAATGTACCTCTGTAAATATTCAAAAGAATAAGTTAATAAATAGCGGAAATTCTATAAGGTTAGAAAAGTGGAATTGCTCAGAAACACACTGAATTAAAACAGAAAATCTCTAAAGCCATCCCTTATGGTTCCTTAGGGCAGGGGCAGAATGGATGTTGTATATCACACACACTCTTGCACATGTCTCAATCTGTATCTAGCTGGATATGTGTTGGGCTTTACTTCACAAAGGTGATGATCACATGGTGATGGTGCTCTGTCCATAATTTTTGTTGCTGCTAGTTTCAACTTAGTATCTTGGCAATTTGGCCATATTCTTTCTCCTGGATGGACACTTTGGTTGTTTCTAGCTTTTGAATATAATTTGTCAAATGTTTCTGAGTATTATTTGTTAAGTGAGTGTCCTTGTATATATCTGTATGAAGATCTGAAAGCTGGGGCAAAGCTGTATTAAAAGGTATGTTTACAGCATCAGACACCTTGCCTAATTATCGTCTAAAAGAAAGTGCAGCCTCCCTATAGAATGAGAGTGCCTCTCTCTTCCTCTCTGCTGCTGGCAGCTCTCTCTCTCTCTGCAGATTATCATGTTACATATTTTCACCCTCGGCAGGTGTGGTGGAACACTGTTAATACCAGAACTTGGAAGGCAGAAGCAAGTTGATCTCCATGAGATCAAGGCCAGCTGGTACTATAGGGAAACCCTGTCTCAAAAAAGTTTAAAAAAAAAAAAAAGTTTCACTCTGGGCTGGAAGTGCAACTCTAGGAGACAGCACTTACATAGTATGCATGAGAACCTGGGATCTCTCCCTAGCACTAGGAAAAAAGGAATCCACTCTACCAGGTGGGGATAAACATTTTTGCTTAGATGTGTAGAGGCAGGGTCTCACATTGAACCTCCTCACCGATTCTAAGGCCATAGAGCTCCAAGGATCCAGCTGAGTCTACTCTCCCTGCCCTCCTCCATGTTAGAGTTACAGACATGCACTGATGTGCATGGGATTTATGTGGGTACTGGGATCCAAACTCAGATCCTCCAGCTTCACCAGCTGAACCATTTCTCTAGCCTGGAGATGTGTGCTTTTTAATTATGAGTTTGAGCATCTTAACACATGTTCCCTCTCTGTATTTTTTATAAGCACTTCTCTGTCCTTTGTCCATTCTGTTTAAGTACTTACAAGTTAAGAAGTTTTCCTGGTATTATATTTGCTGCATGTTGTAGTTATCATGGGTTCTCCCACCTTCTGATTTATTTTTCATGCAAAAGACTATTATCATACTTGTTTTCCATTACTGAATGGTTTCAATTGTTGTAGCTTCATAATATATTTTAATATTGGATAATAATGGCCACACTTTCTAGGTTTTTTTTTTTTCAAAAATTTTTTAACTCCTCCCATGGTTATTTTTCCAGATAAATGTATCATTTTAGGCTGGTTTTAATTAAGCAAACTTGTGACAAGGACCAGCATATATAAGAATGCTTCACATTTTTTTCTTGGTGTCCTAAGAAACAAATATACTCAGCAGTGTAGGTGGAGGAGATAATAATTTGGCTGAAGCAGTATAAATATACTTGATTGACTATGTTCTCCAGATGCAATAAAATAGTGGAATGAAGGGAGATGCCACAGTGTGGTGGTACCTGAATGAAAACAGCCTGACTCTTGGAGTTGTTTGAAACCAAGAGTGAGCCTGATCTATCTCACTGGTTCTCACAGTGTCCCTTCTGAGCACTCTCTAAACTGCTCTTCCAACCACAAGTTTCCTCTCATTATTTAAACAATAAATCCAGCAGGACATGAGGAAGAAATGAGGAACCTCATATTATCGGGGAAGGATTTATCTCTTTCTGACCCTACAGAAGAGCACATACAACCACAAACAGATGGTACCAATCTAATCTCATCTGTTATTTGCAACATAAACTGTGGATAATTCATTGAATCCTATGTCCATTTCTTTCAGCGCTGACATTTTCACAACATCCCCACACATACCACACACACATATTATTCTGGGCCAGGGGCAAGGAAGGGGCAAGAGGGAGAAGCAGGGAACATAATCAAATATTAAAGTTATTTGTTTAGTTTAGCTTATAAAAGATTATTAGAAGCCAGGCATGGTGGCACATACCTTTAATTCCAGGCCTCAGGAGGCAGAGGTAGGCATGGATCTCTGAGATCCAGGCCAGCCTGGTCCACGTAGTGACTTCCAGGTGGGCTGAGACTAAGGAGACCCTGTTTTTTTTTAAAAAAAAAAAAAGTTGATTAAAAGAGGTACCCAAGGCCTAGTAAGATTGCTTATATTATTTTCCTAAAAACTACCTAGATTTTAAAAAACTGATTATACAGGAGGAAGGTGGATCAAATAGATAGTGTTAAATGCTCTCAAAACATAAGATTGACTTTGGTTATGAGGTTAAGTAAGATTCCCAATTGTAACAGAAGGCATTCTCAGAAAACTCATTCCCATAGGAGATGGCTAAAAGTAATTTTTCCTTTTTTTTTCCATAAAATTTTACTTTGATGTTAGTTAAGAAGAGAGGAGATGGACTGATGGGAAGTGTGGTTTACATTAGAGGTATTCCAAGTGAAGCAAAATAACTTCATGTTTGGGAATAATAAAACCTGAATATTTAATCCCATTTTCTCCAAGGAACCAGTCACATTTAAATGAGATTCTTCTGTTGGAGGAAAGAGCATAACGGCATATTAAAATGCAATTCCTAAAAGCCGTGTAAACAGTTTTTAAATTCCTACGTAAATGGGAATGGACGCACAGAACAAATTACCCGTCATGATTCAAGCCATCATATGTTTAACTCATGCCATCTGTGCTCAGGCATTGGATGGCTGTCTTTGTACATGGTGTCCTGCTCTGTCATTCACTCTCCTGAAATGCACTTAGTGCAAACTCCCTGGGGTCTTTTCCAATGTTATGTTTGCCTCATCACCACTGTAGTGCCTGAACGAAGGAGAAACCTTCCTAAGGTTTCAGTGAGAAGTACAAAGCATAATCATTCCTAGATAGCATGCCCAGATAAAATACAAGATGCTGAAGGAATTTTTTTATGTTTGGATTTCAGATAAATGATGAATTGTGTTTGTAAGTTTGTGCATACATGTTCATGTGTGTGCAGGTGCATGTGTGGGTGGGTGTGAATGCATATGGAAACCAGAGGTGACCTTGGGTGTCATTCCTCAGGCACTGCCCACCTTTTTTTTCGGGACAGGGTCTCTCACTGGCCTGGAATGTAGGCTAGGCTGCCTGGTCAGTGACCCCTAAAACTCTGTTTCTGCCTTCCCAGTGCTGAGATTATAAGCATGCATCACCATCACAGGCTTTTTTTTTTCTCCTACCTGGGTTCTGAAGATCAAACTGAGCTATCTCCCCAGCCCTTGTTTGTGTCTGGTTTGCTGTTGGTTTGAGATAAGCTCATTCTGTAGCTCCGTTGGCCTCAAAGTCACTATATAGTTGAGACTGGCCTTGAACTTCTGATCCTCCTGCCTCCTGTCTCCCAAGTTTTGAGATTACAGGTGTGCATCACCACACCCAGCTGAACAATGAATTTTTAAATTTGTATTTTGGCCAGGCATGGAGGCTCAAGCCTTTATCTCATCCCTCAGAAGGCAGAGGCAGGTGGATCTCAGAGATCAAAATCAGTCTGGTCTACCTAGGGAGTTCCAGGCCAGGTGGGGCTACAGGGATACCCTGTCTCCGAAAAAAAAAAAAAAGTACTTTGGATATATAATCAGTTTTTTCAGTATCTGTATCAAATATTGCATGCTCTGGATTTAGCACAAGAGTGTCCCAAATACCACATGGGATATACTTATGATTTAAAAAATATGTGTGGGGCTGGAAAGATGGTTCAGTAGTTAAGAGCACTGGCTGCTCTTGCAGAGGACCAGGGTTCAGTTGCTATCACCCAACACGGCAGATAACAACAGTCTGAACCTCCAGTTCCAGGGGATCTGACACCCTCTTCGGACCTCCACAGGCATTGCACACAGGTGTGCAATTATATAAATGCAGGCAAAACATTCTTACACATAAAAGTTTTAAGGGTGTTTATTTGAAAGTCAAATTTTACCAGGTATCCAGATCTCTCCCAAGTCAATGGACTGATTCTTTGAAAAACCAAAACCAAGACCTAAAGAAACAGAGTAAACTGTTTTTCTTGCTTATGTGCCCCAGCTTTAAAAAAAAAAGAAAGAAAGAAAGAAAATCCAGAATATTTTTCAGATTTTAGTGCACCGGCACCACCTGGACCTGGCTGTGGGGTGTTAGCTAGAGATTATGAGTCTGTGTTGCCAACAAAGCCTGAGGGGTGCCACACAGGAGACTGTCAAGGATAACGCTAACTTGAGTAGTTTTGGAAATGAGAAATATTGACCAAAGTTGCCGTTTTCCTTCCCTCAGGTGCTGGCCAACCTACAACACTGTGACAAGATTTCTGAGCTTCCAGATCACCGACAATTTCTTTATTAAGGGTGTCCTTTGGCAACTGCTTAATTAAACCCCAAGGTCAGGGGCTTCTCAGCATTCATCTAATTTCTGGAAGACTCTTCTACAAGGTGGTATCTGTTCTTTGGTTTTGTAGCACAAAGTTTGTGCTTTTCCTGGTTTGAGGGGGTGGAGTTTGGTTTTTTCCCCCTGTGTATGCACAATATATACAAAAGAATACTGAATTGTCATGATCCTGAACAGTTTAAAAAAAAAAAAAAAGCTTAGTATGATCAAGGAGGCTTATGGTTTAAAATGTGATATTTTCTTTGGGAAATAATGAAAGGATGCAATAAACCAGTTGTTTTAGTATTTCTAGGAATTCAACACTTTATGTTTACAGAACTGAGCTGTAGAAAGTGCAAGACATGCCAATTTGAGACATGTGGTCTTCTAAAACAGGAGCATAGGACTGATGTGTTTCAGAAAAACGAAACTTCCCAGCGAGCTCTGTCTCTAATCCATAACTTGTTTTTAATGCAAAGACACTAGTATGATAATATGTTGTAATCCTGAAACATTGTGTTACTTACCTTTTGGGACAGAAGTCATACCAACAAATTATCGCACTGTTAGTATTAGATTTTGTGCACGCTGGAAGTAATGTCATTAGCACAGGTTGGTCCATCAAATAAAGAGAACCCTGCAATATCACTAGACTTACACTCTGGGATATTGCCCAAAGCCAGGAAGGAATCAAAAGGAAATAGTTTAGTCATCATTTCCAAAATTACCAAAGTCTGAAGAACTTTAATCTTCAAGGGTAGTGGATCAGTAGTAGCCTTGAGGCCTGGGTTGCTTGCTTTGTCCAAGCACTAGATAAGAGGTCTTTAATAGGGGGCTTGATTTGAGAATGTGAGCATTAGGCATCGAGAACAGTCTATCTTTAGGCATGACTACTGCTCACCTTTGCCTGTATGTTCTGGGGTGGGAGGGGTGAGTGTGAAGCCCAAGTATCCAAAGAAGCATTAACAGAACCTAGATGACATGTGGTAAACCCAGGACCTGATTTGTACGGGGCAGCAACGTGCGGCCGACCGTGCTTAGCCCACTCTCGAGACCTTGTGCACCTTGGCTCTCCTTCCTCCATCACCTTCTTTACTCTTGAGAATCCTGGACCTTGTTCGTGGAGTTTAGAAAGGAACGTTTATGGAGACCTGGTTTATTTTCTGCCCTGTGTGATCAATTTCAGCTGGACAAGAAAGGAATGACATGACTAAGAACCATCAGGATTTAGATCTCCGGGCTGTTTCCTTTAAGATGGAGGAAAGGGGAACTATTTATTCTGCCTTAAAATGATGGCAAATAAGTGAAGATGACATTTTGTGAATGTAGACTATGGGTATACTCCTAATAGGCTAATGTAGGCATAAAAAAGGTCAAGTAGATGTTTTTCTGTTATGTAAGCAATAATTGTGTGTGTCTTAGGGAGTATGGCTAGCAATTATTTATTTCCATGCTAGATGGTTCTTTGCATGTGGGTTCCATATAGGTGCAGAAATCTCCTCAGCTACTGGAGGTATTTTGACCACTTTGTCATTCGGACAAGCTGTTATTGAATTGAAATTCACACATCATTTCATTAAAAATTGTGCCTTAGAAAAATGCAAAGCTGTTGCACATAATGATGAATTATGGATGCAGAACACTGAAGAGAGACGAAGTCACTTTCAAGTTCCCACGACTTCTCACGGAGGTGTTTGCTGTTTTACAGGAGAAAAATAAAAAGATTTTAAAAGACAAAAATAAAGGAAAAATTTTAAAAAAGAAAAAGAAACAAGTTTTGAAAAATGTATAGATCAAGTCCAATATTTTGGTGACGCACCTGCATGTTTTATTAACTATTTTGATAATGTGGATGATCACACTTTGCATGATATTAGAGTACTTTACCAGGAACAATGCACAAAACATGTACAATATGGTCATTCATAACCGACTTTTATAAAATACTTTTTACATGTGCAACACCATCCATTATGTAAGGATTATATGAATATTGTGCATTCTCTTCTGGTTTCACAAAGCCATTTATACATATTTCTTAGACTCATTGTACACGTATTGAAGCTAGGCTCGAGTCAAGAAAAATAAAGCCCCATTCTCCAAGTGCAGAATGTGCTTTCCCATAATGAACACTAGTCACCAGCCCGGAATAATCTCCAACGTTTTCTAAATTCTAATTGCCAACTGTTTCTATTTCTATTTGATTTATATTTCATTTAGAGCCTGTTACATGGCAGCTTCAGCAGACTCGATCATGTTGTTTCCCAATGCAGCATAAGAGAGTATGATCTATTTCTTTTCAAATAATCTTTGAGATCCCAGCTCGGAGCTCTGCTCTGTGGAGCTATAATAGAAATGTGTTTGTTTAAAAAGCAGATGAGGCAAGTGAATGATTGATTGTCCCTGAGGAAGTTGATCTGATTTTTCCCCCTCATACTCCAAAAGCTTGTCCCTTTTCTTTCCTAAGAAAAAAAAATGGTGACCCTGTTTTTCACTAGCAAACTCTCATGACCTCGCATCATTCTTTCTATGTAGTGTTACTAACTGAATACATATCCTAGTTATCTGGACACATTGTAAGATTTAACAAGCTGAAATGATCCACCACCTATGTGAGTCCATCCAAAAGATGTTACTGTTGTGGGTGGGCAATGTTCTCTATCAATTACACTAACTTTCATTTACAATATTTATTCTAAAAATGCCTCTGAGAAATAGTAAAAAATAAAAATAAAAAGTTGTCTAAAATGCAACAACTTTTATAGTACATGTACATTTATAAATAAAATACTCGTCAACTTTGAATTGTGTTTATTACTTCTAGAAGGGGGGCAGTCTTAGAGGGCTGCAGGTCTTGTGGCTCTTGGTTCAGGGTTATGTTATTACGTGATGGCTGAGATGGGTATTCAAGATCATCTTTCAACAAATCAAACCTGCCAGCTGTTTGTAGAGTGGTGAGGAGTTGCCTCACAAGGAAAGATTTCCACTCTTTGAGATTAGACACGTGATGACTAGGAGAGGTCGTCCAGGTGCCAATGGAAGCTGCCAGAGGCAACCAAATAGTGGTCAGGGCTTTTCATTGGTCAAGAGAAAGCAGGGCTGGAGAGATGGCTCAGCAGTTAGGAGCACTTGCTGCTCTTACAGAGAACCTAGGTTCGATTCCCAGCACTCACATGGCGGCTAACAATTGTCTGTAACTCCAGTTCCAGGGGACCTGACACCCTCTTCTGACTCCGAGGGCATTGTACAACATGACATGGGTGTGCTTACATACATGGAGGTAATACGCTCATATAAATTAAGGTTTTGTTTGGTTTTGTGTGTGGTTTTTGTTTTTGTTTTTTTGTTTTTAAGAAGAGAATAGGGCAAGCCTTTTGAAGTCCTTGCATGCTACTACTTGTCCTAGCACCTCCCCAGTACCCCCTACTCACTGTACCCATAGGTGGATCCACCAAGGACCTTTTTTCTCAGTTGCCCAAGAGACTGAATTAGAGAATAAGCTGTGAAACGAGGACATCTTGCTGCTCTTTCTCCTTCTGAGAACTCTATTCAGATCTGTAGCACACCCCGCCCCTCCTTTTTTGGACAGAGTCTTACGTAGCCCCAGCCAATCTGGAACTTACTATGTAGATCAGGCTAGCCTAGACCTCACAGAGGCCTGCTTGCATCTGCCTCCGAAGTGCTGGAATTAAAGGCATTTGCTACCATGCCCAGTCCATTTTTTAACTGGATCATTTGTTTTCTTGATTTTTTTTTTAGTTCTTTGTATATTCTTAAAATTAATCCTCTATCAGATGCATAGCTGACAAAGATTTTCTCCCACTCTGTGGGCTTCCTCTTCACTTGATTGTTCCTTTGCTGTACAGAAGCTTTTTAGTTTAATTTGTCCCATTTGTCAATTGTTAATTCCTGAGCGAATGAAGTCCACTTTAAATGTTCTTTTTTTTTTGAGACAGGGTCTCCCTATAGCCCCAACTGACCTGGAGCTCACTATATAGATTAGGCTAACTTCAATCTCACAGAGATCCCCCTGCCTCTGCCTCCCAAGTGCTGAGATTAAAGCTGTGTACCACCATGTCCAGCTATACCTATATCATGTTGGGCACTGCCTATGTTTTCTTCTAATAGTTTCAGAGTTTCAGATTTCACATTGAGGTCTTTGATCCATTTGGAGCTGACTTTTGTGCCAGGTGATAGATATGTGCCCAATTTCATTCTTCTACATGTGGAGATCCAGTTTTCCCAGAACCATTTGTTGAAGATGCTATGTGCATAGCTGAAGGCTGTATAACAAAAATCACAGTGCCAGGCCAGGGAAATCCCCTTTAAATTGTTGGTATTGGTAGTCCAAGACACTCCCCAAAATAATATAGGCTATTGCTGCAGACCTTGATTGCCTGCCAGAACTTGAAGGTAAGATCCTACTGGTGAAGACACAACATACTTCAGACATAGGACTTGGAACAATTGAGTTAGAACTGACCTGGAAGCCTCCTCCACAAACACCAGCTCTCATAATATCAGAAGGTGCTATGCAAGCTGCCAAGGGAGAAATCCAATCAATGATCCTATCCAGCTATAAATCCTATGAAGCAAAACAGTGACTGGTTCAGCAAATTCTATTGGTGCAATAGTGGCATTTATATCTCAGGGTTAATCAACAGCTGTCTAATTGGACTTAAGACCCACTCAATATGAGGGAATCCATGCTTGGTACTGTACACATGACCAGGTACACATGGTTTGAGAAGTCATAGACTCTAAAGAACCTACTACTCCACCTTCCTAAACAAATGTGATTTCTTACTGTATTCTAAATACGCACCCTTATACTCGCAGACAAATGTACTTCTCACCACCCATCAATGAAGCTTCACTTTGCAACAGTTGGAGACTATTACAGAGTTCCATAACTGATCAAAATGCAGAGAATAAGTGACTGTGAGGTGCCCAGCCCTAAGTGATATATTTACAATGGAACCTCTTACACCTAAGGTTTCATGAACATCATGGAAGAGGGTACAGAAAGAGTGTAAGAGCCAGAGGGACAAGGTACCTGCTACTAGTTAATGCATTCTAGACATAATAGGGAAGTTACACCCATGAAATCTCCACAGTATGGTAGTTTAACAAGATCTGCATATTGATCTGACATGTCAGTGTGGATAGGGGAAACTTCATGGGGTCCCACCTCAGGATAAAGTACTGTCGATCATTGGATTCTGAGGGAGGGAAAAATCAGTTCTCTCCAGGGACTAGCTTCCTCAGAGGTTATCTATTCATAAGTGGGCAGCCCTAAACACAATAACACATAGGCACCATTAAATGGACTCGTGTGCGTGTGTGTGTGTGTGTGTGGTGTGTTTGCATGTGTATAACAATATTAAAGAAGAGGACAGAAATGGTGAGGTGGGGACATGGGAGAAGTTGCAGGGGGACAGAGGAGTGGAAATAATGCAAGTTCAATACTCATATATGAAATTTTCAAAAAATAAAATATTTAAAAGTATAAACAAGTCAATAGAGAAAGACTAAAGGCTAAACATTTCACAGAAAATATGAATTACAAAACATAAACTTTTGCTAGGAAGAAAATGCAAATTATAACCATTATGAGATACCATTTTATTATTTTTTTTAAAAAAACATTGCTGGGGACTGAACCCAGGGCCTTAAATATTCTCGGCAGGCACTCCACCACTCAGCCTCATCCCCAGCCAAGGTGCCATCTACACCCACCAGACTGATGAGAATTCAAGACTTTGATGAAGCCAGGTAAGGATGTGGAGTGACAGGAACTCACTGCTGTTAAGAATGCATACTGCAGCCAGGTATGGTGGCACACGCCTTTAATCTCAGCGCTAGGCAGGCAGATCTCTATGAGTTCAAGTCCAGACTGATCTACATAGTGAGTTCCAGGCCAGCTGGGACTACAGGGAAACCCTGTCTCAAAAAGAGCAAAAAAAATAAAAATAATTTCATATTGCCCGGCATGCTGGCACACACCTTTAATCCCAGCACTCGGGGGGTGGGGGGCAGAGGCAGGCAGATCTCTGTGAGTTCAAGGCCAGCCTGGTCTACATAGTGAGTTCCAGGGCAGTTGGAGCTACAGGGAGACCCTGTCTCAAAAACACCAAAAAAAAAAAAAAAAAATGCATATTGGGGACTGAAGAGATGGCTTAGCTCTTACGAGTGCTTACTGTTCTTCCAGAGGACCCAAGTTTGATTATCAGTATCCATACCAGGTAGCTCACAACTACCCATAACTCCAGCTCTAGGGGATATGTCACCTCTGGCCTCTGCGAGCACCTGGACTCATATGTACATATACAGACACATATGTATACATAATTAAATAAATAAAAATATTTAAAAATCTAAAAGAGAGGCAGGGGATGGAGGGGAAGAGAGAGGAGGAGGAGGAGGGAGGGAGAGAGAGAGAGAGAGAGAGAGAGAGAGAGAGAGAGAGAGAGAGAATATTGGGCCCATATGGTGTGGCACAGGCCTTTAATCCTAGCACTCAGGATGCAGGCATTTGAATCGCTGTGAGTTTGAGGCCAGTCTGCTCTATATAGTGAATTATAGGCCAGCTAAGCTACATAGTGAGATCCTGATTAGAAAGAAGAAAGAAAGAGAAAGAAAGAAAGAAAGAAAGAAAGAAAAAGAGAGGGAGAGAGAAAAAGAAAAAGAAAGAAAGAAGGAAAGGGAGAGAGAAAAGAGAGAGGGAGAAAAGAGAAAGAAAAAAGGAAGGAGAAAGGAAAGAAAGAGAGAGAAGAAAGAAAGAAAATTGGTAGAGAGCCTAATGGCATCAATTACAAGGGTTTTACTTCTGGGACCATTCAAGAGAATGGTGTAAGAGAAACTTAAGAAGCGGTCACATGTGCTCCAGGGCACATGTTCAAATGTCCTCTACAGCACTGCTTGCATATAATTATGAGAACATTTTATTAATGAAGTAAATTTAAATATTAATTACTAAAAAATAAGTGAAGGAATACACATACATAGTTAAATGTATTAGGAAGACTATACTAGTAAGACATGTCTAATGATATACACACATCATACACGATTCATGGCACCATTGATAAGAAGCTCAAAGACAATGGAAAACAAGCATTGTCATCTCCAGGAACACATAACATGGGATAAGCATAAAGGAAAGCAAAGCGGTTACACAGGATTCAGGATGTGGGGTGTGAGGAGGGGGATGCTATCAAGGACGTTGCAAAGGACAGGCGACTTCATTGCCTTTGTTTTTTCACATTTTTTCAAAAGTTCTGTTTTAGCTTGTGTGCCTTCGGTCCTACTAGATGTCACCAAAGCGCTTATTGTTCCAAGTAGTCTGACCATGGATAGATGATCCTATCTCTCTGTATCATACCCAAAACTTGAATTGTCAAACTTCTTAAGTGCCTCTCTGGTGGAAAGGAGACAGTGTCTTGTGACTTTGGTATGCATTCACCGGACTAGTTGTTGGACCATTCAGTTCCCATGTCTGTCAGTTAGCTGCTCATTTCTGTAGTGCAGCTGTTTCTTCTGGATGTGACCACTGCCATACTGAATCAGAGCCACTGTGATAACCCACCTGGGACCCCCATGAGGTTGAGACCATGAGCATTCCAGCATGAAGGGAATTGGAAAGTCATGAGACTCTTACTGAGTTATGAGGCTTGGGGCCCTCAAGTTCTTTCTCCCCTCCCCCAGATTCCACTTGTCACTCTGTGGGAGGTAAAGAAGCCCATGAGTCTTCCAGGTTCCTGTAAGGAACCCCAATAAACTCAGTGGTTCTTCAAGCTGGCCTT